ATTAAGTACTTCCTTTAAAAAGTGGCTTAAGACAAACTCTAAATCAACTCCATTTATATCGAAGGGAGTACTCTCTTCCAACTAACTTGTACTTTTGGATACAACTCCCCTGAGTCTTCTATTCATATTCTGAGAGATTATAAAGAAGCTCACAATATTTGGATTAAACTTGTGAAACCTTCAAAACTAAATACTTTCTTTTCCCTTCCTATACAGGATTGGATAATTTGAAATGTAAAAGTCAAGGCAGGAAGCCTAAACATAAGAAGGATCCTCTGGCAAAATATTTTTGCTCAAATTTGTTAGAACATTTGGAAGGCATGTTGTAGAAAGATCTACTTAGAGGATATCAACCAGGATGTCAACATTACTTTTTCTAGTACCCAGCAAGTTGTCAATGATATGAGGCTCCAATCAAGAGTTAACACCCTTAACCAAGATGGCCAGAAATTAGAGGCACAATAGAGACCTCCTGACCCAGGATGTGTGACGATAAAGGTAATTGAATTAAAGGATTCTCTAAATACCTTGGCTACCAAACTAGCACCATGGCAAAACTATTGGCCATTTTAGAAGGTCTTTAGCTTTGTTGGAATGTACGACTCACTAATATCAATATTCATTCTGACTCAATGGAAGCTCTCTCTCTTATGTAGCATAATCTCTCTAATAATCACCCTCTCTCTGAAACCATCAATAAAATCAAAGATTTTATCATGAAAGACGAGATCATTACCTTTGACCACATGTTTGAGGAAGCAAATAGATGTGCTGACTTTCTTGCTCATCAGGCCTCTCAAGAAAATTTAGATTTTATCATTTTTGATCATCTACCCTTAAGATGTAGATCCCTTATGGAATCCAACATAACCTAATTTATGTACCTCTTCTGCATGGGGTTTTCTATGGCCTTGTATTCAAATATTTTTTTTTTTGGGCAAAAGTGAGTGGTGGGGAAAGTGCCCTCCCTTTTTAGTTGTTGGCATGTAGCAATAGAGTTAAAAACATGGGTTCAATTATATAAATTAATTTGAATAACATGTTATAAAGATTGGTTTGAGTTGAAAAAAAACTTATTCAAATAAAAATAATTTTTTTTGTGAGGACTAGATAATTCTTAAACTAAATGTACTAACTCTAATGCGTTAAAATTGGCTCATTTAATCTATACTATTTATATAAACATTAAAAAAAATGAAGGGTGTTTAGGCGTGATAACTTCATAAGACAAGTAGATTTAGAATGAATCGTACGGAATAAATCAATATCATACATGCATGATGTGAATTTTTCTTCATCTGTTTGGAATATCATTTTAGAACTTATCATTTATCTATATTTTTAAAAAATCACACAAAAATAAATTAAATAAGTTGGTAGATTGATCCATTTAACTCACTAAACATAAAAATGAGTCAAATTCAACCCAATTCATTTTTTTCCAACCAACATAAGCAAGTTGATATGATTTGAGTTAATTTATATTCTCACCCTCTACATGTAAGTACTCTATTACATGTCCAAAGTGTTGAAATAAAATTCAATATATCGGATCACATGTAAATATATTTACAAATCACCCATTAAAAAGATTCGTAAGATTTCAACCCACAATCTTTACAGTGGCTGTTGGTCTTCACATGCAAATATTTTTGCAAATTGCCCATTCGTTCACTCATCATTCTCTCTCATTCCCACTTTTTTAATTAAAAAAATCGATCACAAGGTCCAAAAACTTGTGGGCCACACCGGATGTTGACGTATTTGTGAGCCCTCTAGAGGACAAAAAGTAACACCATGATAGATCTGTGTGTTGTGAGTTGTGACCAATGAAAAGCTTTTTTGGGCAGAAAAACTGGAGTTATGAACTTACTCTACAGCTTTATTCTTCCTCGATCAGATTATAAACTCCATCAACTTTGCTTCTTTTTGTCCATTTCTGTCCTCCAAGCTTTTCATCCATGTGGGTCCCTGCAGGATTACTCTCTTTTTGGGTATTAGTGCCCTTTCACAATAATGCATTTACCGAAAATAAATTTTATTATTAATTTCTCTCTCTCTCTCTCTCTCACGCACACATATAATGTTGCTGGTTGCAAGAATATGAATGAGTTTTGTTGCAGATATAAGCATCTCGTTGATTAGAAAATACTGCTGTAAATTGAGATACGTTTCGTTCGATTGGTTAATAAAATTCAATCAATTTATTTTGGAATATCAAATTCGAGTGGGATATGTAATCCTCTTAAATAAAAATCTCAAATAGATTAAATAAAATAAAATAAAAATGTTACCGCCATACTAGCCAAGATTTTTATTTTAATATATATATATAATTAAGAGATGATGGAAGAAGAAAAAACTGAAAAAATAGAGAAGGAATAGATTCATAAAGGAGAAACGAACCAAAAGATGGATTCATGAAAGGGAAAGCTTGATATATATATATATATATATATATATATATATATATAATATTATGAGGAACATATTATATATAATATCAAGAATGTTTAGCTTGTATGTATCTCGATTGGCCTGGTATCGTCCAGATTTGAAAACAATTGGGACGGGACAGGATATAGGATTATCATCGGGACGTCCCGTCCCATCCTAAATATTATATATATATATTATTTTTTATTTTAAAAATATACATTAAATATATTAATTATATTAATATAATTTACACATATATTAATTATATCAATTATAATTTCAATACCTGCAATTCTTATATAAAACTAAAAAATTTTATAGTGATAATTTTAATAACATAAAGTAAACAGGGTGATATTTTTTTAATAACATATTAATTATATTAAAATGATTTATTTTTATATCTATATATTTAATAAGTTTTATTTATATTGTATTTATTACTTTATTTTTAAAAGAGTAATTAGTTTAGCACATTTTAACTAAAGTAGAAGAATAATAATTTAATATTGTACTTGGCTTACCTGTTGTTGCTACTCTTATAACCTAGAGATCACTTATAATTGCTATCATAATATGTAATTATAATTAATGTAATTCAATAATTAATTTTAAATTATTATAATTTATGTACTTGTATTATTTTTATTTTTAAACCTAATAAATTATATAATTTAAAATTTTAATGAATATTATTATGTAAATCTTTCTCCGATTATTAGGACAGCAAGACATCCCAGTCCTATTCTGATTTCTAGCGGGATGAGACGACTTTCGAGATAGGACAAGATATAAAATAAAAATTTAATTTCAATTTTTTTTGTGATGAAACGAAAGTGGTATCCCTGTGCCGTCCTATAAACACCCTTATATAATATATATATATATATATATATATATATATAGCAACGCACACAGGAGGGCAACAGGCAAAAGCATCATATATCTATCAAGTGATTCTTCCATGCAAGCCATGTGGATGCTTTGTTTGGTTCACGTGGCAAAAGCAGGCCCCACCACATGGGTCCCTCCTTGGACTTAGCTGTATATTATTATTTCCCCCATCATGCATCCAAAAATGCAAGACTGCTATTCGGCCTGTTTGTTCTTCTTCAATCGTTACATTTCCTTAAGAAAGCAAGATTTCTTAAACAATTGCGATTTTTATGAATTATGAATGTCTGATAAACCTAGGATATCCATAATTATTAATTAATATTCACGTTGCTAAGCTGACCTTACATATATAACCATGAAATTAATATTCACGTTGCCTAGCTAGCCTTACATATGCACAGAATTTAAAGATTAAAAACTTTTTAATGGTATCTATGTAAAATGGACTTGCTCCTTATTAAATTTATTGTATATTTTTTTCATTATTTTTTCTCTCTATTTTTAGCATGTTATCATCAACAGTTTTAATCTTCAGCCATCACAACGACGTCGGTTGTGAAAAAATAATGATTAAGTTGCATTTTGAGATATATATATAGATAGATAATTGGATGTTATAATTTTTCATTAATATTCAAAGCTGTTTGTAAAAAAAATGTGAATTTTGCTTCCACATACAATCACCCCTATAATATTATTTCGAATTTAATGCATAAAATATTAAATGTGCAAACTACTTTTTTTAAAAAAAATAAATTATACTTAATTTTCATCAAAAATTAAAATACCATCGTACACACACACACACACACACACATGCACGCCCTATATACATCTATCCCAAAGCTGACAACATGAAATACTTAATGTAGGCGATTGAATTTGAACATAAGTAATGAGTGATAATGATCACAATGTAAGGACATGCATCATCCAAAATAGGACATAATGTATCAGAATCAACAGTAGTTCTTAATTATCCACAAAGAACAGGAAAACACACGCACGTTAAGAATTTCGATATCTGCAAAAAGTGTTTCAAAATCTGAAGATATATGTTTTTGTAGGAACACGCACACATAAAATTCTGAACCATTTAGCATCCACGTGAAAAGAAAAATCAACGTAACAAAAGCGAACGAAAATGATAGGCGATAAGATAAAGGAGGAAACATGACACACACACACACAGAGACAGAAATATAATGTGAAAGGGTTCGTTGTTTCGGTTAGAAACAGCCGCCAACTTGGTTGTGTTTCTTGAGTTGCCTCTCGTTAACGTTGATCCCATATTCTTGTATACACTAACGTGCATGAGATGCAACCAGTCAGGAGATGCCACGTGCAGGGGGTGGGAATTTTGGAAGGAACTAGTAGGAAGCATAGGATAACTGGGCACAGAAGAGAGAGAGGATTGGATTAGTAATAGCGAATAAGCAACGTAAGCTTGATCGCAAAGAAAAACAGGAATCATTCTTTCATTTCGATCATCAAACAATAAAAACAAAAACAAATGAAAAGTAACAAAAAGCCAAGTGGGGGCTGACACAAACCCTTCGCCTTTGCTTTTGTTCTGTTTATCATTCTCTCTCTCTCTCTCTCTCTCTCTCTCTCTCTCTCTCTACCTGTCGTCTTTATCAAAACCCCAAGCAACCCTCAGAACTCATCCTCTTTGCCTCTTCTCTTAGATCATTCTCAACCTCTTCCTCTCTCTCTCTCTCTCTCTCTCTCTCTCTCTGCCGCCTTTGGATCTTCTTCCTCTAAGGTTTGATATCGATCTCTCTACCTCCAACTATATATGTTTTATATATATATATATATATATATATTTATACAGCTGAAGAATGCATGAATATTGATTTGCTTAGTAATATGATAGTTAATGAGGCTTTGTTTGGCCGGCTTGTGTGATGATGTGTTGATCGAGTCTGATCTGTGTGGTTCTGTTAAGTTAGGTCAACAAAGAAGGAGGTCCCAAGGTAGCTATAATCGAGATGGCACCAGTTTCATTTCCTCCAGGTTTCAGGTTCCACCCTACAGATGAAGAGCTTGTTGCGTACTATCTCAAAAGAAAGATCAATGGCCGAAAGATTGAGTTAGAGATTATCCCTGAAGTTGATCTTTACAAGTGTGAACCATGGGACTTGCCAGGTACCTACACATACAAATGTGTTATATTTAGAAAAGAGAGAATAATTAAATGCACCATCGGGTACTTGAATTAACTGATAATTAAGGGATTGATTCCTCTTAATCAGAGGTCTGGAAAAATTAATTGTTTATTTTATTTGGAGAGTCACCTAATGTTTTGACACCACGATTTGCTTCTCTTGTCTTATTGTCTTAGCTTTGTTGAAGGATGAAACACATGCTTGCTTTATTGGTCAAGTATATATTTTGCTTTAACATAAAATATCTCGTGTGTGGTTTGCCCAAAGAAAAAGCTATGTACTTGAGCTTTCTAGAGGTTGTTGCTGGGTCCCTTCATCTTTAGGGTTCGTATATAAGCTAACAAGACAAGAGAGAAGAATTCCACAGTCAAAAAGCATATATATCAGTTCATGGTCTCCGAGACATTCAGAGTTGATTTTTTGATCGGTGCAGGAAAATCTCTGCTACCAGGGAAAGACTTGGAGTGGTATTTCTTCAGTCCTCGAGACAGAAAATATCCGAACGGGTCGAGAACGAACAGAGCGACGAGATGTGGGTATTGGAAGGCCACGGGGAAGGATAGGAAAGTGAATTCTCAGAGTCGTGCAGTGGGGATGAAGAAAACCCTAGTTTATTATCGAGGAAGGGCCCCACATGGCTCTCGCACTGGTTGGGTCATGCACGAGTATCGTCTTCACGAGCGTGAATGTCAACCTGCTTCTTCTCGCATGCAGGTATTTCTCATCAATCCATCCCTTCACACAAAAGTTCAATATACCTTTTCTATATATCCGTGGTAATATCAACTGTTAGTTAACTTAGTTTGATGTGGAGATAATGTCCAGCATCAAATAAGTTAGATTGGAGGAGTGATATATAAATGGAAAAAACTCAAAAGCTCAGTATCTCAAGGTTTTGAATCAAAATATGATATTAATATAATACATTCTCTCCCTCTCAGTTTATAAGACAATTTTGGAACTGATTTGTGTCCAGAATATAACATAATTTGACAAAAATAAGATTTTATTAAATAAACTTTTTCAATATTATCCTTCCCTCCTTATCATATTCTAATATTCTCTATTTTTTAATGAATGGTATTTTTAGAAATTTATATTTTTTAAAAATAAAATAAAATTGTAAAGTATATTTAACAAAGTTTATATGTATGTGTAATTTTATTTAAAATTGTCTTATAAACTACGGTGGAAAAAAATACTCATTTATATGTCTTCTTGAAATTATTAAGCCAGCTATAATAGCTTTTTCCCCTTTTGAGATGCTCCTCTCAAGGGCAGCAAATAATGTCATGGCATGAATTCTAAACGCATGTTGCCTCATAAGCTGTAAGTGATGGCTAATAATAATTAATTTCAGGAGGCATATTCTCTATGTCGTGTGTTCAAGAAGAGCGCAGTGATAAGCCCAAAGATAGAAGAAAAGCAGTATCAGCATCATCATTATCATCATCAGCAGCAGCAGCAGATGGCGAGTGATCAGACGTCGTCCAGCATTAACAATGACCTTTACTCTGAAGGAAGAGGCGAAGATCACTTGGAGAGCTCCAACGATTACTTGATGATGCCCCTTGATCATCATTCATCACCATCCTACATGCACCACCCAAATGTCTTCCATAATAATCATGTCAATTATTCTTGTGGAATCACTCAACATCATGTGAATAATCCTAGCTGGTCACACTTGATGTCAGATGATGATCCCTTGTTAAGCCTTCCACCAACTTCTTCATTTCGCAATTATGAAGCCGTCTCCTATCCTCCCTCCAAGGTAACATGATTAATATTTTAGTATACAAGCTATACTAGCTAGAAGCTGCATTGTAGTTCACAGGGATATCATGCTTGATCTAGTTATATGATAGGGCATGGATTCTCTTCAGATCACCTAATAAACAACCAGGTGAAGAGAGAGAAAAGAATGGTTATAATAGGCCCCACATGTTAGATGGAGCTTACTAATTAATTATTTTCTCTCTCTCTCTATCTGAATGGTTTGGGGTCTTAAGAGGATCCCCTCTAATTTCTAAATTTAAATGGTAATGGATAATGAATATGAAGATTTGATTGTTACTATTATTAATTGTCATTTTTAATCCTATGCATGTTTAGGATGTTCCCAATAATTGGATTAGTATATATATAGATATCCAAAATGGCTGAAAGCATATGATGTTTCAAGCTACATGTTAACGCTTCCTATGCTGTCTAAAAATGGTATCCCACCTATCAGAATTTAGCTTGGTTAAATATTACAAATCACTATAATAATCTTACTAAAACTTCAAATTTTCCGAGCAGTATGACATAACACTTTCATTTCATAAGCATCTCATGTTGTCCAAGAAACATGATCATAACTATATTATTTGAATTATAATTTTGTTAAATTTCAGTAGATATATTATTGTTTTGTTAATTAATCTAGCATTATTTGAATAACCAAACTAATAATTACGAATAGGAAAGCTTTCATACATCTTTTTGTTACCCACAACGTTTACGAAAAAGAGTGAACAAAAAAAAAAAACTAGTGTAAAAAAAAGGAATATTTTTTTAACCTTAGAAAAACTTTGCTCTGATTTATACTAATATATATGATATGAGAGACCAAATATTAATTAACCTCCAACTCTTATTTATTAGCTTAGATGAGATTTTAAATACCAAGTTAAACTAACACTCTATTTAATCCTAATTTTAGAGCAAAGTTTTAAAGCGCTATTTGGACCAAATATAGGGCAAAGATGCATGTAACAGTTAATTATTTTATTTTCAATATTCTAGGCAAACTTTTTTTTTTGTTGTAGTTGAAGGGTAAAATTATTTACAAGTTGAAGGATATTCCTATAATTAAGATTAGAGCAGTACTTGTTTGGCTATTTAAAATGATTGAGCTTCCGTTCACAACTTATATATATATATATATATATATATAATGAATTTTGTAGGTGGACATAGCTTTAGAGCGTGCAAGGATGCAGCACAGGTTCAGTATGCCCCCATTGGAGGTGGAGGACTTCCCTCAAGTTGGGATTCCTGAACTGAACATGCCACAACCATCTGATCATTCTGGTGCCATAATTCATGGAAGCACAACTACTGAAACAACAACAGATATTTTGCAGGAGATTCTATCAGTAGCTCATGCTTCTCAGGAACTCATTAATCAGACCTCAAACTATAATCCACCCACCACATGGGGTGGCGGTGGCAGCGGAAACTATGCTCCTCATGAAGAAGATGACGACGACTTCACCTTCATGGTGGGAAGAGGAAGTGATGATCAGAACTATAGCTACAACCACCAGGTGAGTGACTTGAGTTCCATGATCAGAGGCATTAATAGTGAGACTACTACTACATGGGAAGATCAGAACACAGTTAGGTCAATAGAGATTGCAGATCTGGCTGATGAGTTCAAGGCAGAGAGGATGGTCGAGAACTTGAGATGGGTTGGAATGTCAAGCAAAAGTATGGAGAAGGTATCCTAGTTTTCATGATCACCGGTTCAATTTTTTTATTTTTTTTTAGTTAGGTAACAGCAGCAACATAATATCTATATATCTATGCATCTGCCAAAATCAATTTTCTTATCAATTAGCTATAATTCATTTACACCTTATTCTCAATATTGCACCTTGAACTCTAGAAAAAGGCATATTGGACTGCAGATATCATATTAGCTGTTTTGATTTTTTTTTTTGGGCCAAAATATTAGCTCTTTTGATGAATATTTGTTTTTTATACACATATAGTGGCATGAAGAATACTTAATTTATATGATTATTTGTACAATTGCACAGAGCTTTCCAGAAGATCAAAAGGCTGTTCCTATTGAGGATATTACAAATTTCCAAATAAACAAGGAAGAAAATGGGGTGCAAGGTATTGAAAACGGTGTGATTGTCTATAGTGGTTGAACAATTTTAAGTGTTTGCAATTCAAATTTCATTTTTGAAAGAACATGTTTTATAACTCAGAATATCATTACTAGCTTCTTTAAAATCCCCTCCGGGAAAAAAGTCCACGTAATTAATGGTTATGTAAACTTAATCCCTCTATTTTTTTTCCTTTTTTATTCTTCAGTAGAGTCTGTGCAGCACGAAAGCAACAACATCAATGACTTCTCATTGGGATTCCTTAATTATGATGAACCAAATGAGAACTTCATTGATGAAGGTACCCCCATGGATGATTATTCAAGCTCTCCAAGCTGCTTTGAGATGGTTGAGGAAGTAAAAGTCAGCCATGGAATGTTTGTGGCAACTCACCAAGCAGCCAAGACATTCTTTCACCAGATAGTTCCTTCACAAACCCTCAAGGTTCATCTGAACCCAGTAATGGCAAACAACACTAATCTTTCAGCAGAAAATGAAGAAACAGCAGCACAGACACAAACATTGAGAATGGAGAAACAAGGGTCCTTTTTCACAAAACTGGAAGACCATGTGATAGGAAAGCTAATAATGAAGCCTTCAAAGACTGCTAGTGCCATTATGTTCATCTTTGCATTTCTCTTGATGTATTTTGCTTCTTATTTTGGGGAGCATTCACAAATCTGGAACCTAGATCCTCAAAATGAAGATGTCAAAGAGAAATGTTGCTCTTGTGCAAGGAGCAAGAAGAAATTCTCAAGGAATGAGAAAGAAAGGATTTGGTTTGTTGGTATAAAAAGTGGAAGAGGGTTAAGTGTGGTGTTGAAGAAGGTAGGGATTTTCCTTACAATTTCTTTGGCACTTTGCACAATGTGGGCTAACCACGTCACAGTTGATTAACCCTCTAAATTGACCATTTGTTTTGTTAAATCGTAGAAGGTTTAATTCCCTAGGTTTCTCCCAATTAAAATAGCTTGGAGGCTGATGGATCCCAATATGTACTTGTACTTTACTTTGACATACTTTCTTTGATTAAGTTGCTTGTACTCTCCACTTATATAGCATAACTTACCTTTACTTTTTTTCCTTCTTTATTTAAAATAGATGACTTACATATGGATCAATCGAGCATAGAAATGTGGGAGTGTCAAATTCTTCCCACACAAGTTGGATGTCATATTTCACATGGCTTGATTGTTATTTGAGAAGAGTATTACATAATTAATTATCTTTTTATCTAAACGGAACGACTTAAGACCTCCTCCAAACTACTCAGGAAGGTCACCTCCAAAAATGAGCAGTCCAACTCCATATATTTCACAAATATTTTAAAATATGTCAATGAAGAGAATTATGAAGTTTTATACTTCACCGAAAACAGACCTTCTGTGAATCAAGAACTTGCACACACCCATATATATATATATATATATATAAGAATATAGAACTTTGTGAAGATGAAAATATTCAAATTATCTCACATGTTCTTTATCTGCATTTTTGTTCCAAGTCAAGTAAGATGGATCCCCAAGAGGCCTGCATATATGCAAAAGGCAAATGTAATGTCAACTTGCAAGAATTAACAGAGAAAAACCCATGACATTTGAGACATAATATGTTTTTCTTATCTGACTAACCAGTACTTTAACTATGATAAGGACATGCACAAAATTTTAGATCGAATATGAGAAAAAGAAAAGTTAAAATGTTAGACGAAAAATTTGAAAATGTGCAAGGATTGTGCAAAACTTTCATGTTTAGCACACTTATCATTAAGAGCTTAAATTGTTTCAAAGCCCTTTTGGCATGGGAAATGGAAGCAATAAAGATCAAATTTTCAAATCCTGTAGGTTTTCAGGTGAAAATTTGGAGCCAAGGAAGCAATTATGATGCCAGATTTGTTATCAGTATAGTCCACTCTACAATGTGCACAAAATCAAAATTTCTCGGCCTGTAAAAAGAAAAACACAAAAACAGAAACAGTAGATGAAGGATGAGCATAGTATTTCCTCACCTTGGCTTCATCACATGCATAATTATGAACACTAACTCAAACACCAAGGACAGTCCACCAATGGCAAGACATGCCATCCCCACAAAATCATTTCTCCCACCAATCCAAGTTGTTGTAGAAAGAACCAGATTCTTTTTTCCACCAAAACTGTACGTATTATAGTTGTTCTCAATAACTATGTCTAACTCATCATTAACTTCAAGGTTAGCCTCAATCCTCCCGTATAGTTTTCTGAAAGAAGACAATGGTGCTGTTCGCATCCAAACAATGAGATCCTCTTGTTCGCTCAGCTGATGCATGCCAAGAAAATCACTATTAATAAAATTTAAAAACAACTTAGAAAATTATCTTGCAAAACTCAAGAGAATAATGAAAATCACAATAATCATGTACTGCCATTAAAATATATGTACTTACAGGTATGCTCTCATTGAGTTTCGCTCCACCAATCAAGCTTCCCTGCTGAAAGTTCTTTGGATATACATCAGAACCAAATCTTGTGGTCTTGTCACTCTTCCATGCTATATTCTGTTTGTTGATCAGTAAAGTCTTGTTGTTTGCTGAAAGGCTGAATGTGTCATTGAACAAACTCCATGCAATGAGGCCACAGGGAACAATTGGTTTTCCATCATGATTCAGTTCAGGTTCACAAGAGGACGATCCCTTCTCATCTGCCTTACTCCGTAGTTGTTTGTCATCTCTACTTTTAACAAATCTGTGAATATCATGCAGACAGAAAAGCATTTTGTTATTCGGAGTCCCCTAATTTCAGAAAGATAGATTAAAAAGGGAAAATATGAGGGGGAAAGGAAAAAAAAATCTCAGCAGATCACAACATCCAAAAATTGATCATTAATAAATTGTACTACGTTTTGCCAACGAATAGCTGAAAATTCTTTCTGTAAGTCCCATTTATTTGCCAACCTTTAGAAAATTAAAAATTTGATGAAATCATCATAACGGAACTAATCATCAATATCCACACGCAAGCAGGCGTGTGTTTGTTGAGCTATGATTAAAGGGATATTATGTGACCGAAAACACGACACTTGCCTCACCTCTGCCACTCTCAATGAAAGTTGCATTTTACATCTAACAAAGTTGATGGTTTAAATCAAAGGTCTAGTTAGAGAGATAAATAGGGGTAGAAGCAAGGCAGGCCCCTGTTAAGGGTCTATGACTTAACTTACTTCAAGCCTAACTTAACGTATTTATTAAATAGGTCTAGGTCTAGGCTAGGTTCAAGCCTTTGATTAGGCCTATTTTACGAGCTTAACAAGCAGGCCTATTTACACGCACACATATTATTATGTAATACATTACACACAAAATAATTTCACTATTTGATTTTTAATCAATCTAATTTTTTAATTTCTAGTTATGTTTTTAATCAAATTGGACTTAAATTGTGTCACACCCCAAAAATTAAGTGTGACCGGCACGGAATATGGGCACAAAACTCATATCCCTTAAGCCGTGATTTGAGAAATTCTGAAATTAATATGTTAAACACCTAATAGAGTAGTTAGAAATTATTACAATATTAAATTAAATATTTAATTTTAAAAGAAATGTAAGGATCCTACCTGTAGTCTATGTGGAGCATCTAAGGCTAGACACCAACGTGGGTATGAAGTTCAATTTTTTTTTTATCAATTTGGGATTTGACAAAAATAATTCTTCAGCTTCAATTCAGCAATAACACTCCTCAGTGGATATCTCGAGTCACGAATTCAACTATACCATCTGAGACCAAAATATCTTTTCCAGTGAATAACGTCCCAATAATAAATAATAGAACATAAATAAAGTAAAAAGTTTGAAATAGTTATGTAAGTTAAATAGACAAAATTTTCGTAAAAATTTTATAAACTTCATAATAAAATGGCTCTATAAATTTTAAATAAAATCTCAAATCATTGAACTATTATAGAAAATGATAATATTACTTGATTTCAGGAAAGCACATAAATGGAATAAATATTTATAAACAAATTACTAAATAAAAACCAATAGAATATGGAATCATCAAACCATTGGATTCATAAATATAGGGACTTATCAGAACAATTAACAAACGTGGATACACAATCCACGAGGGTAACTAACCAAACGCGACTTATGCCACGAAAACAAACGTGAACACACAGTCCACGAGGGTAAGTAATCAAACATGGCCGAAGCCATGAAACAAACGTGGACACACAGTTCACGAGGGTCATGCTAACCAAACGCGGCCTGAAGCCACGAAACAAACGTGAGTACGATGCTCACGAATAGCCATCCCTCCGTTCCACGTGCGTTGGCCATCGCACGGGGCTAGCACCTCCTATACAACACCCTGCTAGCTAGGTGTACCATGGCGCGCCAAGGGCTAACAGAATTGCCGTTAGCAACCAGTGTTCTATATAAAGTCCCTTTTTAAAATCATTTCAAACATGCGAGAAAATCATCACTTTCAAGATCCAGTTCTCATTCTCAAAATCAAACTCGCATGAATACTTTTAAGCATTAAAACTTGCCAGAATCAAATTTCATATCCAATGCTCATGCTTGCATTAAAAAAAACTTTCAACTTCGAACTCGCATGAATCGTTTTTCCGTAACAATTCAATATTTGATAAAATAAAAATCTCATAATCAAAGTTCAAACTTAATTTAATTGATCAAATAACATTTCAAATTTGATAAAGCTAATTTCTCAAAATAAAGCAAAATTAATCAACAAATATCCAATAATTGCATTAATGCTATTAAAATGATTTCCAAAACAACGTAATATTCCAGTAAAAGAAATTTTGATTAAAAAAAATCAGTTGGGACGCTATCCACTTACCTGTAGAATCTTCAAAACTCAAAATTCATTTCTTACAACTCCAATCAAGCTACCCTCCTTACAGTTACCCTATAAAGTGTAATAAGATTTTAATAAACTTTACTTTTGAATTAACAAATCTCTTTAAAAGGGAATCCATTCAACAAAACAAAATAAAAATAAAAATAACTTTGAAATTTTTAGCAATAAAATTTATACATAAAAGTTTTTCCTTAGACTTTTTATCAAGCATCTAATGTACGACATTCTAAACCATTGAATAAGCATATAACCTTTAATTCTCTTGACTAACCATTTTCAAACATCCCAAGTATGTCTTCCAAATTGATAATATACCTTGTACACTCTTCAACCTTATTATTCTCAATAATTCCAGAGCTTAGATAATATCTTAATAATGCTTTAGCCTTAACAACCTATTTACTTGAGATAACATCTTCTCTTCGGTATATTGTTTCCAACCATAGAATTAAAATTTTCTAACCTATCATATTTTATCCAACACTTTATTAATAACCATTCTATCCCCAAGAATTTAAAGTCACATATAAATTCATAATAATTAAATTTCTTTAATTTGTAACCAACAAGTTAAATTCATGGATCAATAACAATCAAACTAAATGTATATAACACAATAACTAATCAAATTTTATAAATCTGAGATATTCAAGCAAAACTCTCCTAGAGGCATTTTATCAAACACTTATCATCCATTAATTCTCAGATTAACACCAAACCTCTTCCCCTTATATCTCATTTCCTACCAATCACAAAATTGATATTGAATTCAATCAGCCAACCCAATTTCAATTCTTTAACCAATAATAATAATAATAATAATAATAATAATTGGAATATCAGTCAAAAATCATGTTCTTAAACTCAAGCTTAATTTGATTATCCTTCTAACATGCATAACGGCTGCAATTTAAGGGAAGACAATAAAAACCCATTTTCAGCCACATCACACAATTGCACGCACAAAATAGAAGAAAGATGCATCTTGACTTACCACCAATGCAGTAAAGAAATGAAGAGAAGAAGTTGAACCTCCCTAACTCACGTGTGATCACGACAGAGCAGAACAAAAGAAGGTTCTAGTCAAGCAAAAATGGAGAAAGTAGGATGCAGAACGAAGGAGAGAGAAGAAGATCTTGGAACATCCACACAAACAGCACAGACGGGAGGCGATCCCATGGCAGTGCATTAACAGAGGAGAAGAAAGATTCAGGCATCACCGTCGCATGAAGAGAAGACCAGTGGATGAACAGAGGAGCAGACAAATTTGCGAGTTCGGCCTCGACAGTGGCAGATTCACGGTGATCTGAACACAGCAGCAGCTAAGGAGGAATAAGATGCAAAGACTAAGCACACTTCACCAACAGTGATCAGAAATCGGCAGCAACCAGAGACAGGGGAAACCAAAAGCAGTGCCGTTTCACGGCAGATCCTCAACGGAGAAGAAACAAGCAAGCTCAGCGACGGTTAGGGAAGAATTAAAGGACAACGGCGAGGAGGAGATGAGTAGAGAATGAACAAAAATGACTCTCGGTGGTTCTGGAGTTTTCGAAAACGCCGAAGGAGAAGGGAAAATGAATAAGGCGGTGCGTGTTTCCTGACCGGAAGAGAATATAAATCTGACTTTTATGAAATTGCAAAAATTACAAAAGAGGGCCCAAAGTTTCTCCTAATAACATAAAGGACATGGACATTTTGGTAATTTTTTTTTAAAATCTTAAACTAAGTGAAATTAATCTATTTTAAAATAATTTTAAATATTAGACCTTTAAGTAAGCTATTGGCATAAATTTCACTAACTCACCCCTCTCTATCTGCCATAATATTAATTTAAATAAAGTATAAATTAGGATGATTTTTTTTTTTTTAACTTAAGGTCATTACAAATTGATTTTAATATTAATATTGTTACTTTATTGCTATATTATATAGTACTTGATATATATTGTAGACTTTAATAATCCTAAAGCATGTTTGAGGTGATTAAAACTAATATGTAAGCCTATTTAAAAGGTTTATTTTAAGTAGGCTTTTAAATAGATTTTCAAGTAAAATCAAACTTTAGGTAGGCTCAAATTTGAGTCTTGAAGAAAGCCTTATACAGGCTTTAGGCGAAGCTCAGGCCTCTTACCTACCACACGGCCTTAGGCCTATTTGGCCAAAACCTACTTTGGCCTAGTTTATTTTCACCTTTAGGATAAATAAAGAAACAAGGCGACCTCAAATGCACATGAGCACTAAAAGAAGCCAAAACACGATTCTAGCAGTGTATTACACTTACCTTCGATGATTCTGGTAGAAATTGTCAAGCTGATAATAGACATATACTGGAGCTTTCATTTTTTTTGTGACCTGTGAATTATCTAATAAAATTAGTCCATCAGAAACCAGAATCTTGAGTTACAGGTTGCAGCTTAGGTTCTGTTAATGAACAGTGAAAATAAAAATATTATGCTAGAAATGATACAGGAAAGACACTAACAATCCATTTCCTGATGCAAGTCTTCTTTGTTTCAGTGCTTTGAACAAAGGCTACTGCATCACCGCTATATTTATGAGGAATGCATTCCTGATCATATCTGTAGCTTATTTCCACCACCTGGATCAGAAATTCTCGATCAAATGAATTGTCAGTTGCAGCACACAAATTCCATTTGACACCAGGTGAAAAAATAATCACAATATATTACACGCTCTGATGCGAATAATGAGGCAAGACCAAGTGGAATGAAGATGACTGCAATAACTGTAAATTGTATAATGACCTGTAAAGTGAAGATGAATCACTAATCCACTATTATAGCAAAAGAAGGCTGAGAAAGTTGCTCACAACGATTTAGTGGTGAAATTAGAGAAGTTAATTTGCAAGCCATACCCATGACGGTGTTAAAATTGGTTGCCATGCAGGAAGTTCTTGCTGTGAAAATTTAGAATCTACGATAAGGCAAACAAAATCAGGGGAAATATTATGCAGATAAAAGCTTAATGACACATAGACACAAAAGACAATAAGCTGTTAGTAAGAAAACAACTGCAAGACTTAAATGATTATATGAAACACTCAGTTTGTCTTGAATTTGGTGGAAAATATTAGGAATAAGCCATGTTGTTTTGTCTAAAAAAGACATGGTCACATGGGTAAATTAAAATTACAATGATCACCATAACAACGAAGATTAGAAAACATAAGAGGAGACATCTTTCTTAAAGATGACAGATATGAAACTAGCCCCGTAAGCATGCCTACCTATGCACAGAGAGTCATACATTTATTGGGTAGTGTTAATTGAGATTATTGTAAAGTTACCAAATTAATTTTGACTTCACAGAACATTGTAATGGGTGAAAATTTCTTCAATAACCTGAATTAATCTAACAATAAGAACATCCTGAATCAATATCAATCAATATAAAATCATATTATTCGTAAGTTATGAGTGGTACAGTTCTCCTCAGACTCCATGCAATACATGGGAAGACGAGTCTAGATTTTTATAATATATTTCAATAACCTGGTTACAATGTTCTGAAAGTAATATCCACTCTAAATGTACCCAACACTGTCAAGAAGACTCTAGAACGAAATGCCTGATTGTTTGGCCGCAGCATTGGAAGTAATCCCATGAAGTTTATTTTTATTAGGGGATATTATATAACCCCGATAACCTATGGCCTCTTACAATTTTGGGATACGAACTTCAGAACACAAATTTATCCTCTAAATTAACATAAAACAGGAAAATGCTGCATATCATCAGTTAAAACTAACAAATAAAAGGTTAAGTGGTTACCATGTTAAATTTACATCTTACACGTTCACGTAGTGTACCAAAAATTGACCCTATAGTCCAGACATTACGCGATTTTTCGACGTTAGGTCTGATTGATATGTAACATTGATAAAGTGTCACGTCTTTGTATCAAAATTATATATATATTTATATATATATATATATATATATATATATAAGTGAATGTATCATATGTAATATGTCAATAGAGGTTGCAGTAATGAACATAATATGAAGATCATCAGAAATCGAGACAGAATCGCGCGCGCGTGCACATGAGGGGAAAGAAATAAATTGAGCTGAGGAATAACTCACATTTAGGTTTTTTGGGATTCTTGGAAGAGGGAGCAGAGGGTCCAACATTTGCAACGGCAGAGGTTGATGATGAGGTAGTCATAAAGATACCGAAGAATTCCTCTGCTTGGAGGAAGAAGGAGCGTCACCTCAATGATAGGATCGGAAAAAGATGTTGCAGAGTTTGAGATTTTCTTGCAAAATATGGATGAACAACAAATTCAAACCTTCAAATTTGGTTCCTCCCTCTGTATTGTTTCTCAAAACTGTTATATTTCTTGTTATGGAGGATCACCATAACTACACAAGGCAGTTACTATTGGTATTATTATTGGTATTATTATTTGGCTGCTAACAAATGCGGATGGAAATAGGCTGGGACTTATACCCTAGTCTATTTCAGATTCAATCCAACTTATTTGTTAAATAAGCAAGCTCAGGTTAAATTTAAGTATTTAATTAAGCTTTTTTAGTTTAATTTTAATATATTAAGTTTAGTTTTTTTTAAAATCTAACCTACGAGTCTAATAGTCTGACTTGTTTACACACACACACACATATATATATTTATTATGTAATATGTCACAAATCAGTTTTATCATTTAATTTTCAATCAATCTATTATTTTTTATTTCTAGTTATGTTTTCAATTAGACAAAACTTATATATTAATTTAATGTTATTATTTTATTATTGTGTTGTAATTTGTAAGTCATTTTAATTATTATATAGTTATAGTAATAGTCAAGTTATATAATTATATTAATAGTCCTAAATATATTTGAAATATTTAAAATTAAAATGTGAGTTTATTTAAAAGACTTACTTTTAAGTAGATTTTTAAATATACTTTTAGACCAAGCCAAGCTTTAGATAGGCTTAGGCCTAAATCATGAGAAAAGCCTTATATATGTTTTAAGTCAGGCTCAAATTGTTAATTTATCATACAGGCTCATGCTTATTTGGCTAAAATCTAACTCTACCTAGCCTATTTTTACCCTTAGTGACAAGGAATTCTCTTTCTTTATTTTTTATTTTTGTAAAAATATAATGTTTTTAAGAGAGAATGAAATTTTTAGTCCTTCAAGTTTATCATAATTTTTAATTTTAATTTGACTCCTTAAATTTAACTTTTTATCATTTTGATTCCTTAAGTTTGCCTTAATTATCAATTAATCTGTATCCGTATTATTTAAAGAAGAGGTAAACATGTTAAAACCTACTAATATTGATAACAAAATATTAATAGTAATCATGTAGATTAATGAAAAAAAAATATAATTTTTTAGATGGAAAAAATACTCAAATTTTTTTTGTTATAAGAAGGAATAAAAACACTATGTAAATGACTAAATTGATGGAAATTAAATTAATTTGAAGGTTAATGTATTCTCACTCAACTATTTTTTTTTTTATATAATACACTCCCTCAATTCAAAAATATAAAGTATTTTTAATCGAATTTTAACTTCCAATAAAATAGTTACTTATCTTTAAATTAACCCTATTCTTTTATATTTACTCCTATTTAATAGGATGTTTCACCCTAAAATAAATATAAAATAATTTATTTAATAGAGACACTTTTAAAAAAAAGATAATAATTATATCTTGAAAGACTAAAAATACTTAATATTTTTTAACATCATATCCCACAAAAAATACTTTACATTTTTTAATAATGAAGGGAGTAGTTACTATCAAGGAATCATGCTACATTTTCATATTCCTATTCCAAACTATATAAAAATTCCAATTTGTCCTGACTCGACCATTCGTATGGTCTACTGTTTGACTTTATTTTTTTAACCCAAAAATAAAAGTATTTGGTAAGATCAAGTAATTTAAAATTTAAGCATGGCGATTAATTTATATTCAAGTATTGTTTCGTTTTTTCCATTAAAAAAAAAAGAGTATTGTTTGGATTTAGTTTAGCACTATGTGCATTGGAGTGATGATAATAATTATTGCTCTGTTCGAATTTCAAATGCATCTTATTGATAACATTAAACCCCCTTTGCCAATATCTCAATAATTACAGGGCTTGTTTGTTTTAATGATTGAAAAAATGAAAAAAGACATGTAACCATTATTCCATGACTACTATGTATCCATCCAGTGCAACAATCTGCATCAATCGATTTCTCTGCTTTATTCCTGTGACCTTCAAGCTCCCAGTAACCTGCAAATTAAAAGAACAGAGAATTGCTTCAGTGAAGTATCATTCACACCTTATAATCATGAGCTGAAACAATATAGTTAGCCTAACCTTGACAATGTGGATTGTACACGTCTGGTGCAGCCAAAGAAAGAAATAGGGGGGAAAAAAGGAAGATTTTAGATTGGATCAATAAAAAGCTTTGTTTTAGAAAATGTTTCATGCTAATAAAATCAAAAAATGTAATGAACTTAAGTTGGTGAAAAGATTATCATTATGATATGACATGCCTTGAGCCCTGCTGTTTAACAGTCTGCTGCTTGGAAACTGGTCTTTGAGGTTCATCACTTGGAAAAGGTACAGTCTTCACCTGTGACATTGACATATAAGAAAATTTCTCAGAATCTCATCGCCAGATTACATGGAAACATTAGTGTGTATGTTTTGGGTTCTTTAATGTCAACTATATTGTCATACCAAATTCTTGAACAAAAGGTTATAAAACATATGGATGTATTTTTGTTTTGCTTCTTTTTGCTCCTTATTCACTGTCCTCCAGAAAGTGTACAAGCTTCCCATGTTCAGTAGCCTGTTTGCATAAATCTCCCAGGTGTAGCTACAAAACAAGCCATTTATAAAACTATAAGACTTTATTTGTTGCAGAATGCTGATACAATATAAAAGGGAACTATCTTGAAAGATGCTTTTTACCATTCATTTATGCGCCTCAATCCAGCAGATGAAATCTTGCTCCAGTTTGTTGAATCCTCTTTGCAAGTCTCAAAGAAATCAGCAATTTTGTTGCTAGATTCGTCACCATGTAAGGGATTGATATGGAATCCGGAGATTCCATCAACAATAATTTCAGCTGGACCTCCTTGATTTGTAGCAAATGTGGGCAAGCCACAGTTCATTGCTTCAATGACAGTAAGTCCAAATGCTTCATATAAAGCAGGCTGCACAAAAGCTCCTTTGGTGTCAGCGATGCATCGGTAGAGTTCAGCATTGCGATATCTGTTCGTCTGTGCAGCAATCCATCTGAATTGACCCTTTAGCTGGTACTTATCAATTAAAGCATGCATCTTTTTTATTTCTGCTATTTCCTCCCTGTCTTTGGATTTTGAAGGGTCAAAGAAGCCTCCAACTACGACGAGGTTTACCAAGTTTCTCAATCTCTTATTCTTCCCAAACCACTCAACCAAACCAGATAAGTTCTTCACAACATCAAGCCTTGCCATTGAGAAGATGATGGGTTTTCTCCTGTCTGATAAAGATCCACTGCTTCCACAACAATTCCACAGGTTAACATTGATCATTTTGAGGGGAAAAATGATTCAGCAATTCATATATGAATTTAAATGTAAATGCAGAGTAGCAAGCAACAATATCACTTACATGTGCTCATTGTTATCCACTTTACTGTAAAGTAGCTCTTCAATGGCAGGGTGAAATTGATTGAGTCTTTTGTTTTTCTCCGTAAAAGGGAAATAGACAGACTGGTCAGCCCCAGGTGCAGCTATGTTGAATTTCGGATCAAATACGTTTATTCCTGAAACAACTCTACAGAGCCCTGGAAGTGTAAATGCAGCATGGCTTTCGTACTGTCCAGGTCTATCTTTGCTGCAAATAAGAAACTTAATAAATTAGTATATCTAAGTCCACTTCTTGAACCAAGAAACAAGGACACTAATATTTGAATACTAGCAAGCTTTAAGTATACATGTGTAATTTTAGTATCACTTTTCATGCTTCGTGCAAATGTCTGAACAAGTGCCCAACACAAGCATAACTCATTTTTCATATTTTCTTGTCCAAAATCTTGAGTATTTAAGATTTTTTTTTTTTTTTCATATATGATGAGCTTACCTTCCAGCAATTTCCTGGTATGTACTGGTGATGATGAAATCTGCTGCATTCATTGCAATTGTATCAGCCATGAACTGGCATGAGAAATGATATTTGGGGTCAAGGTCCTTCCACTTGACATCTGAATCTTCATACTTGGTCTTTTCTAATGCGTGAGCTACAGTTCCCTGGTTCCAAAATACCCGGAGAGTTAGTCTCTTCTTTTGGTAACAATGAAAATTAGGGCAAGAATTTTAAACTGAGAAGAAAGAGATGTTAACCAGAGTTATCCAAGTTTGTTAGCCATAAGAGATGCAACCAAATTCCCATCAGTGTAATTTCCAATAACAAGATCTGGTTTCCTTCGAGGTGGTCTAGAATCTTT